TAGACGTTGATTTAAGCGAGATGAATGGCCTAGATTAAACCGCACAACCGCACCTGGGCACCCTAACTGCACCAGAACCTAATTATATATATATATATATATATATATATATATATATATATATATATATATATATATATATATATATATATATATATATATATATATATATATATATATATATATATATATATATATATGAAAAAGGGCCAAATTGGCCACTGAACGTAACGCAATAGTGCAATCAGGCCACTGGACCTAAAAAACGTTCAATCACTCCATTCAACAACGCAAATCAGTCCAATTTCACCGTGTAGCCGGTTACAAACTCTTCTTCCCATCAACCGCTGAGCTGGCCGATTACATGGCATTAGTAGGCATGTTTTATTTCTTTTTCTTATTTTTGTTTTCTTCCAACGTGAACAGGCCTCCATAGCCATTCAAATCTCCAAATCCATTTCCTCTTCAACGTTTGAAACTTGATTCCAGAAACTAACAACACTCCATAGGTGTCTTCTTTCCCTTTATTTTTCAATGCTCGAAAGCTTCTTGTTCTTGTATTTCTCTTGTTGTTACAGAAAACCTAGGCGCAGGTGTATTAGTAACGTAATTGCAATGGCTTTTTCCAATTCACGGTCGTCTTCAACTTCTCCAAAAATTCCAAATCGCAATTATACTCTCCAATACGAGCCATGTTTGTACTGTAAATGTGGGTTGAAATCCCCATTATGCACAGTTCGGGATAATGGAAGAAAATTTTTTTGATGTCAAAATTGGAAGGTTAGATTTATTGCTTTTGTTATTTCATATTTTGTTTGAGTTTGCATTAGGGTTTACCGTGTTTTTTTCAGGGCAATGGATGTGGATTTTTCGTTTATGTTGAGGATATTATGCACGGAATGGGAGCTATAGAGTATGAATCTACCAAAAATGATTTAATCGAGTTAAAAAGAATTGTTGAAAGTTTAAGAGATGAAGTTGTGGTGGTCCAAACGAGTTTGGGGAGGATTGAAGAAGCCACGAAGAAAATTGGTACAATTGACAATCATAAGTCAGTGAAGATGCTTAAAGTTGTAGGTGTTGGAGTTGTAGTTGTTTTAGCTGCAATTGTATGGTTTAATGTTAGCCTTATTCCTAAATCTAGAATTGCTTGTTTATGTAGTTTTATGGTTGTTTGTGATGAAAGAATATGAATGGTTGTTTATTGATTTGGTTGTGTTCACTGTCAAGAATAAATGAAGTGAGTAAATGATATGATTTCAATCATGTTTAAGCCTATCATTGCCATGTGAATTTCAACATTATTGCATTGCATTGACAATTTACCATAAGCCATAAGGTGAAATAATAAAGTTTAAGCCATAAGCTGAAAGAATAAAGCTTAAGCAATAAGCTGAACCAAACAAACCATAACTGTATTTCACTGCCATAAGCTGAAAGAATAAAGCATAAGCCATTAGCTGAACCAGAGAAACCATAAGTGTATTTCACTGTCATTCACAAGTTAATCCATTCACAGGTTACAAAAGAGTAGTACTGACAGCAATTAACAAAAATCATATTCAACTACATTCAAATGCCATTCACAGGCCATTCTTAACAAAATACAAGTTTCCACAGGCAGATTCCATTCATAGTGCATTATTAACAAAAATCATGATTAACTAATGTGTCTTCTTGGCAGAGGCACTTGTTTTCATCCCAACTGAAAGCACTTGTTATCCTCTTCCTCCAGGCTACATAATGCATAAAGGTGAATACATTAGCCATGCTAATTATAACATATAAAAGTATCTAAATATAAGAACCATGATTCACTTACATTTAATATTTGTGCTCCAGTATTTGGGTTGATGTATACACCAAAGCCACCCGATCTCTTCCTTTGTTTACTTTTCCTAGAGGTTGAGGCACCACGACCAACTGAGGTGGAAACAGATGATGAGGCAGCAGCTAGCATTGGAGTTGAGGCAGCAACAGATGATGAGGCAGCAACAGATGATGGGGCAGCAGCTGGCATTGAACTCTTTGCAGGGCAAACTTTCTTTTGATGTCCCTTTTGTTTACAAATGGAACATGTCATAACTCGACCTTGCCTTGAAATTTTCCCAACGGAGGGTTCATTAGGCTCACGGGTTCTTTTTTTCTTTGGCCTACCAGTCATTGGCCTAGGTTTAGGGGCTAATATTTCTTCACTATTAGTCCTAGGCCAGCTGATTTCACCATTGAGTGGTTGGATAGTGTGGCTATAGATCATCTTTGTAATTTCTGTATTTGTGTTAAATATTGTGTCTAGATAATATTTCAGTATGATTCTGTTTGAGTGATTGACTTAACACTATCGTAGATCAGTGAGTAGATCAGTGAATAGTCTTGGTGCGGAAATTAAATCAAACAGAAGTAAAAGACACAAAATATTGTTTACCCAGTTTGATACAGTGTGTATCTACGTCTGGGGAACAATCACCGATGCGTCCAATCCACTAACTCATAATTCAATGTACAAAGGTAGAGAAAAACGATCTCACCCAAGTGTCCCATACAAGGTAAGTACCCAGTCTACAGAGGTTTAGTGGATTGTTGAAGTCGGAGAGCCGCGCATCCAGAAGTCCAATGAAATCCCTTCAATGGAGAGCTAACTCTGATGCAGTCCGCTTCACTGACGCAGTCCCACGTTGTTCCCACAACTGAGTGATCTTCGCGTCCACTGGTTTAAGCATGATTGATTCTTCTCAAGTTCATCTTCTTAAGCACCATGAACAATATTTCTTGAGAAGGAATGGAATGGCCAGAGCTGTGTATTCTTTTAATATTTAGAGTGTTGGCTTCAAGGCATTCAACCCTAACTTATGAAGGCTTGTATACATAAATACTTCTTGTCTTTGATTCTCTCCAAAAATAGCTCTGGATGTAAAAGGTAGGACTTGTATAGCTAATCAATCTTGATTTTTTAAGGAGATTTCGTACATACCTAAGGAGAGATGATTTACTGATATTCTTTCTTGAAATATCACCTCAAAACCGCGTTTGCCAGCTCATACGCGTCTTCAATAGACGGTCTCCAACGATTTTGATTCTGAGACGCTCTGACGGATTATCTGATCAATCAGAACTTCAGTCTTCAAACTCTGACAGACTCTAAAACAGAAAACCTATCTAATTTGCCATAATAATTTTGCCAATTACATGTTGGGGTTTTAGACTCAAAACACTAACAAACTCCCCCTTTGTCTATTATTTGGCAAAACAACTTAATAAAAAAGAAAGCCATGATTTAAAGCAATTAAACCAAAGATATACCCTTTCTAACACGCTAAGCAACACACAACCTACAAGAACTGAAACAATTAAAGCAACAACCCCCAACACTTCACACACACTCCCCCTGAATATCAACTACCAACACTTCACACACACTCCCCCTGGATATCAACCACTCCCCCTGAGACCTCACTACTCTCCCTTTTTTGCGAAATGATAGACAAAGAAACATTAGGCTGACGGAGGATCTCCACACTCAGCCAGTAACACAGAAGTATGATTACATATCACTTCAGATTTTCTGACCCAGATCTGTCTCTTGAAAGGAGTAATGAATTTTGCTTCTGGGTGTTCCACCACAGCCCCGCTATTCGTGCTCACCCCCATCATGCTAGCTATCAGGTTGTGTAACAAAATCCTCTTTTGTCTGGGACTCCACAACCTTATTTCTAAAATTTTCCTCTCTTTGATCCTTATAGAAGTAGTAGCACTCTGGTCTGGTGTGACCTCTAATCAGGCAATAATGACATGTAGGGGTATAGTTTCTGGATTTGAAATACTTGCCTTTCATCTTGGAGTGAAGAGACTGAAATTTAGTGCTGACTGGTTCAGGCTCAGTAGTGGAAGCAGAAGTGTTTCCTTTCACGAACACAGGAGCAGACCTAGACGATTGACCCTTTTCATAACCAAGGTCTGTTCTACTGTTAAAAGAAGATGTGTTTCCTTTTACAAACACAGGAACAGACTTAGATGTTTGACCTTTTTCAAAACCAAGACCAGTTCTATTGTTAGACTTTCTGCCTTAGTCTAAAATCTTGTCCAAAGTAGAAGTAGTATCCATCATCTTGATGTTTTTCTTCAAATCTTCCAGTTCCTTTACCAGCTTTCCTTCTCTAGATCTGATCTGAGTAATAAGATCATCTTTCATAACCATATCAGCATTTAGTTTCTTCAAATGTTCCTCACGCTGTCTAAGATTTTCATTCAAATTTTTGTTGACCTTCACCAATTGTTCCCAGCTAGAAACAAGCTTAGCAAACTCCTTTTCTAACTGAGTATGTCTTTCTTCAAAATCGTCTGAAGACATGTAGGCTTCATCATCCTCATCGCAGTCTGAGTGAACTTCTGATGCAGTGAAGAGTGAAACAGAGTTCCTAGTATTTTCATCAAACACTTGGTCTGCACTTTCCTCTTTGTCACCACTTAGGGTTGAAGCAGACATGTATTTCTTCCTCTTTAGGTATGTTGCACATTCTGCCTGAGTATGACCAAACCCTTCACATTACCAACATTGAATTGACCAATTTAGGGCTTTACTTGTACTGTTTGATGCATTCTTGGACTGACCCGACTTCAAAACTGAAGGAGTTGACTCAAATTTATGATTTGTTGAGTTTCCACCATTGGATTGATTCCTGTTAAACTTTCCCAAGCCTTTTTGACTGAATCCCTTTGAAATCTTCTTGAAAATCTTCATGAGCAAAGCTAGGGATTCATCATCAACATCTTCAGTGTTAGATTCTTGATCAGCGTCAGTAATGAACGCCACTGATTTTCCTTTTCTGATTGACCTAGGGTTATCATCAGTCAGCACTTCAAGTTCGTAAGTGTGTAGACTACCCATTAGTTCACCAAGACTCTTCTTCTCCCAGCCTTGATTCTCTTGAATTGCTATAACCTTCATACGAAACCTCTTGGGTAGTGAGCGAAGAACTTTCTTGACCACCCTTTGTTCAGAGAATGGTTCGCCAAGAACGGATGCCCTATTCATTAAATCATGTACCTGACTATGAAAATCTGAGATATCCTCTTCTTCATTCATCTTCAGGGCTTCGAATTCTGAAAGAACCATTTGTAATTTTGACTGCTTTACATCATCAGTTCCTTCATATCGAGTTTGCAAGATCTCCCACGCTTTCTTGGCTTCTTTCACACCAGTGACTTGGGTGAATACAGACTCATATAATGATCCCACAATTGAATTCAATGCTTTGTTATTGTAACCTGAGAGAGTTAATTCTTCAATTGACCATTCCTCTACTGGTTTAAGGACTGTTGCACCCATCGGTCCGTCTTTTGTAGGGGGTGTCCAACCAGTAATCACAGCATGCCACACTTTAGCTCCTTGGGCTTGAAGATAGATTTCCATTCTGGCTTTCCAAAATGAGTAATTACTACCATCCAATAGAGGTCGCCTATCCATCTATCACAAATGACTCAAACAGCAGTTTGTCTGCCAGAAAAGTAAAAACACACGAAAGTACAGAAATATAGTTCCCTTTCGGATCAAGTCACTATGTAGACTTAAAAGCTCTGATACCACATGTAATTTCTGTATTTGTGTTAAATATTATGTCTAGATAATATTTCAGTATGATTCTGTTTGAGTGATTGACTTAACACTATCGTAGATCAGTGAATAGTCTTGGTGCGGAAATTAAATCAAACAGAAGTAAAAGACACAAAATATTGTTTACCCAGTTCGATACAGTGTGTATCTACGTCTGGGGGACGATCACCGATGCGTCCAATCCACTAACTCATAATCCAATGTACAAAGGTAGAGAAAAACGATCTCACCCAAGTGCTCCACACAAGGTCAGTACCCAGTCTACAGAGGTTTAGTGGATTGTTGAAGTCGGAGAGCCGCGCATCCAGAAGTCCAATGAAATCCCTTCAATGGAGAGATAACTCTGATGCAGTCCACTTCACTGACGCAGTCCCACGTTGTTCCCACAACTGAGTGATCTTCGCGTCCACTGGTTTAAGCATGATTGATTTTTCTCAAGTTCATCTTCTTAAGCACCATGAACAGTATTTCTTGAGAAGGAATGGAATGGCCAGAGCTGTGTATTCTTTTAATATTTAGAGTGTTGGCTTCAAGGCATTCAACCCTAACTTATGAAGGCTTGTATGCATAAATACTTCTTGTCTTTGATTCTCTCCAAATATAGCTCTGGATGTAAAAGGTAGAACTTGTATAGCTAATCAATCTTGATTTTTTAAGGAGATTTCGTCCATACCTAAGGAGAGATGATTTACTAATATTCTTTCTTGAAATATCACCTCAAAACTGCGTTTGCCAGCTCATACGCGTCTTCAATAGATGATCTCCAACGATTTTGATTCTGAGACGCTCTGACGGATTATCTGATCAATCAGAACTTCAGTCTTCAAACTCTGACAGACTCTAAAACAGAAAACCTATCTAATTTGCCATAATAATTTGGTTAATTACATGTTGGGGTTTTAGACTCAAAACACTAACATTCTTGTACACTTCATTGGAGTAGCAGTCATCTAGGTATTGTTCTGGATCTTTGCCTAGATCAAATATGGCACAACATGCATGTGCACAAGGTATACATGTGAGGTCCCAAGATCTACAAGAACAACTTTTCCCTTTTAGCTTCACTTTGAATTGTTGTCTTCCCTTCTTAATCTCATAGCCATCATCCCCGTTGAAATCCACATGCCAACCTATACTTTCCACTATGTTCTCATTGAGTTTTTTCATTATCCTAGGTCCAAAGTTACCAGGCCATTTGTCTACTACTTTTCTGCACCTTGCAATCCTTGTCATAGTAGCTACCCTTATATCTTCTAACATCTTCACTATTGGTTTGCTCCTTGCCTTAACAATTGTTCCATTAAATGCTTCACACATGTTGTTATCTACTGAATCACATTTCACTTCAGTTCTCATAAAAGCTTTGCACCAAAACTTTGCAGGATAGTTGGCCAAATCCTCTTTAGCTTTTGCATCCTTTAAACCCAGTTGATCAACCATGGCATTGAACTGCTGTGGAGTGGTTGCATTAGCACACATCCAAAAGTGCCTTTTCAAAACCTTGCCTCTATGTTTCTTGCTCCAATTTGCATGTATATGTCTTGCACAGTTCCTATGTTCCACATTTGGCAATAGCTCCTTGATAACACTCACTAAACCCTAAACAGAAACAAAAAATAAAAACAGAATCAGAAGTAAGTTAATGTAGTACCTTTTGTTGATCTGAAATGATTGTCCAATTCCAGCTATTGTTAATACCCAAGTCCTGAACCAATTGCTCTATAAACCATCTCCAAGAATCTGTATTTTCTATCTCAACAACTGCCCAAGCTATTGGATACATTTGGTTATTTGAATCCCTCCCAACAGCAGATAAGAGTTCACCCTTTATAGCCCCTTTAAGAAAACAGCCATCCAAGCCAATTATAGATCTACACCCAGCTCGAAACCCACTCTTCAATGCTTGGAAACATACATATATTCTCTGAAATGTACAAGGTCCTTCTGGAACTACACTAGTAGTCTGGATAAATACATTGCTTCCAGGATTAGAGTTCAAACACTCTCGGGCATAATCTCTTATTCTCTTGAACTGTTCTGAATACCCTAGATTAACTCTATGTAAAACAGCTTTTTGTGCCCTTCTAACCATATTGATTGTTAGATTAATCTTCAAATCAGTTTGAATATGATCCTTAAGCTTGATATGTGGCATGGTTGGGTCTTTTACAATTACATCTTCATATTTTTCTTCCAACCATTTTTGAGTTACCAATTTCAACTTGTATTTGTTGTTGCACTTATGGTCAAGTAGGCAGGTTTTCAGCTGGAAACACATATACCTTTCTTCCCAACTACAATGGCAAAGAAAAGGACAACCCTCAACACATTTTACTCTCACCCTCATACTCTCATTTTTGTAAAAGTATACATCCCTTTTAAAGTGCACTGCATACTTGATCATAGCAGCCTTAAACTGTGTTACATCCTCAAATAACATCCCTTTTTCAAGCTCAGGGAAATCACATTCTGGATTATAAGAGGGCAGCCTAAATTTATTAGATGGAGGTGTTTTATGTTGTGTAACTTCTTCTTCTTTTAACTCCTGGGTTGGTGGGTCTGCTGAGTCATAATAATAGTCATCACTACATGCCTCACCCTCAGTTTTTTTTCTGTTTACTCCCCTCTAGGTTCACTTCACTGTCCTTAGCCTTGGTGGTCTTAACCTTGCCGTTTCCCTTTCCCTTTCCCTTACACTTAACAGTACAATCATTTTCCTCGTCATACTGCAAATTCACATTAATGTGTATACCATCCTCTTGTGTAACTCCTCCAATATGATTATCAAAATCAGTGTGTTGATTGTCTTCTTCATCAGAATCATTGTCTTCTTCATCACCTTCATTCCCTTCATCATTCCCATCCCAATTCCCTTCATCATCCCCTTCACCTACATTACAATCTCCCTCATTTGTTTCCTCATTAATCTCATCATTCCCTTCACACCCAGGTAACAAATAGCTTCGGATTAAATCAGCTTCATCTATTCCATGATCTACATATATATCACATGACTTAAATCTAATTGCTAGTGCAGTGAGGTCTAGCACAGTTGCATCATTCCACAAAACTCTTAGTTTGTCCAATGGTTCATAGACTGCTTTATAATAGAGTGTCTCTGTTTTTCCATACTGCCCTTTTTTTTATGAACATCACTAAGTGTGGGTAGGAAAGCAAATCTGAGTCTATATCAACATTCACAACATCTCCATTTATGTACTGTAATTCTGACCCTTTAACAAAATTCCCCCCATAGTGTATTATTAGATGTACACTGCACATCTCTAGGAAACCTAACAACAAACAATCCATTCTCAGCATTTAAATTACAAATTCAATTACACAACTTATCCATTCAATCTATTAAATTTAGGGTTTATGTTTGACAATTCTGACTCAAAACATAGGGTTTATGTTTGACAATTACACAAATCTGACTCAAATTTTAGGGTTTATGCTTGACAATTCTGACTCAATATTCCACTTTTCTACTTTAATTTTAGGGTTTAGGGACCACATCACTGACTCAATATTCCATTCAACAATGCAAGCAATTTTCTACTTTATCCTTAGGGTTTAGGGACCACAACTCTGACCCAATATTCCATTCAACAATGCAACCATTTTTCTACTTTATTCTTAGGGTTTAGGGACCACATGAATGAACTAAAGCAATGCTCGACAAGAATGTACCACATAGTATAACAACAAAATAGAGACCACATAGCACACCAAACTCAAAGCAGAGATGTCGGGATTTCTGTTAACAAACAATAAAACTCGCATGCTTTTCACACAAAAAAAATAAAATAAAATAAAAACAAACAATAAACCAAGACCCAACTATAAAATAACTCAGAAATTCATACCTTAACTGCAAATGCGGAGTGGAAGCCTTCGAACTCTTCAAACAATGAACTAACAACGCCAGAGTAATTTTTGATTTACTTTGATTTGGGTTCGACTAGGGTATTTTCTAATTGCATTGGGGATGTGGGGTTTTATATAATAGCTTTACACGTGGGAAGAAAACAAAAATAAGAAAAAGAAATAAAACATGCCTACTAATGCCATGTAATCGGCCAGCTCAGCGGTTGACCGGAAGAAGAGTTTGTAACCGGCTACACGGTGAAATTGGACTGATTTGCGTTGTTGAGTGGGGTGATTGAACATTTTTTAGGTCCAGTGGCCTGATTGCACTATTGTGTTACGTTCAGTGGCCAATTTGGCCCTTTTTCCATATATATATATATATATATATATATATATATATATATATATATATATATATATATATATATATATATATATATATATATATATATATATATCAGAGTTCAGGGTTGGCCGCGCCTTAACGTGCAGTCAGTGCTGCCGCACCAATAGCTATGCAAATACGCACCAATAACGTTATGAAATGCACAACACAAATATGCACCATTTGGTACGCATCACAAAAAACGCACCATTAAGTACGCATAAAAGCACCACATAGTGTTCGGAAATGCACAATTAACTTTGGGGAGTAATTGTGCATTATTTTGGGTGTGTTGTGCATTTTTTGGTGTATTTGTGCCTTTCACTGTTGTGCATATTCCTAACACTATTGGTGCATCTTTCAAGTGACCGCCGTACGCACCGTACGCACGAGAAGACACAACCGTATATAAAGAACTAGGTTCAAATGCGTTTGGTGCGCCCAAGTGCGGAGAGCAGTGAGATGAGAGTAATAGATCTTGCTTAAATCAACGTGCAGGATTAACAATGATTAAAAAATATGCGGTGGCAATTTGGTCTTTTTGCATCTATGTCAAATTTTAAGGTGTGTGGTTTTCCTTCTTAAGTTGCGTGATTTTTGTGTGCTTAAGGTGCATGATTTTTGTGTTTAAGGCGTTTTAGCTGTTGAAACTTAAGTTCATCGGTCTAAAGTTTTAGGTGCGTGATTTTCCTTCTTATAGTGTGTGGGTTCTGTGCTTAAGGTGCGTCAGTTCTTCAGTTGAGAACTTAAAGTGCGTTTTTGAAGAAACTTAAGGTGCATCGATTTCAAGTTTTAGGTGCATTGTTTTACTTCTTATGGTGCGTGATTTGCCTTCTTAAGGTGTGTAGTTTGTGCGCTTAAGGTGCGTCAGTTGTTGAAATTTATGGTGAGCTGGTCTAAAGTTTTAGGTGCGTAGTTTTACTTCTTTATGTGGGTGATTTTCATTTTTAAGGTGCGTGATTTGTATACTTAAGGTGCGTCAGTTGTTGAATCTTGAGGTGCGCTATTTTAAAACTTTAGGTGCATGATTTGTGTTTTTAAGGTGCTTCGTTTGTGTGCTTAAGGTGCATGAGTTGTGTACTTAAGGTGCATCATTTTAATGCTTAAGGTTAGGTGCGTTAATTCTACATTTAAGGTGCGTCCTTTTGTGTCTGATAATACTAATGTCCACGTATATGCGGTGTACGCACTTGGTATTAAACGATGATATGAACAATAAGAAGTTATCTTGTATAAAAGGGTGACATAACACAATCTAATCTTCTACCCCGAGGGCCGATTGACTACGGTCGTGCAGCTCTGTAAGTTGTCTCTTGATCGTTCCAAAAGTCCCTTTCGCCTTATCCGCTGTGGATATTTATAGCCTTTAGCCGGGAATAACCCTCCGGCCTACCAGCATGTAATCCACGTAACATCCACGTGCCCCAACCTGGTGAGTACTCTCTGTCAATGCCTAGTGTTGCCACGTGCCCCTCTCCAACGATATTGCCTCTCCGTGGAACAAAGGTTTAGTGGTCGAGCAGAACACCGGTCGGGAGGTGACTCAACCGGTCGGACCCGATCGTTCCTAAGCAAAAGGGAAACACAAAGGTACATGGACGACCGGTACCGACCGTCCCTCCGCCGCAGCGCTCGAGCCAAGGAACTTGTACTAACCAACACGGAGAACATCATAGGTCGGTCGGGATATATCCTACCAAGAGCCCACCAGCTCGGGTCGTTTTAGACCGCTCGGGAGAAAACGGCGTGGGATGAGAAGACTACGTCACTCGGGCCTCCGGCCCCGACCTCCCAGTTGTCTTCGCTCATGACACGCGTCAGTCTGCAGGCGCCTTGTGATCTGGAACGGTCACTTCACGCAAGTGGGTAGCTTTCCCGCCAAAAGATTTCCTATAAATAGGCCCCTTCCAGGTTCATTTCAACTTTTACTACGCTGTGGAAATCGATCGGAGCTTCCCGAGCCATCAGCACTGTAGATTGATCGGACTTTGCACCTGCTCAACTACCCAACAAATTCTACTCGTCGGTAAGTCACCTCTTTCTTCCTTCACTTAATTTTTCCTTACTTTTCGCATAACTCCTGTAACTGTCGACCCAATAAACTCGGTTGACTAAAACCCGACCCCTTCCGCTGAACCGACCGTCTCCTTTATGAAGGGGATATGTCAGATTCAGATAGCCAAAACATCTCAGGGGCGGACTATGACAACTCGATCGAGGACGATAGCGAAGAAACGATGGTGGACGAGTCCTCGCCCGAGGTTATTAACATCGCCCAACGACCAAGCGCGGTTCCCGAGCCAGAAGAAAGCTCCTCGAGCTCGGAGGGCTCGTCAAGCTCGAGCGGCAGCAGCGACGACAGCGACAGCTCATCTACCAGCGGCCTCCAGTCCCCGACCAACTGTGATCGGGAAACGCCCACTCGGACGATCGGGTCGGGGTCTGAAGTTCCTACATCGCCTCGCGTTCGGAAAACTTCGCACGACTCGGCCAACGAAGGACCAACCCAAACGGCACCTGAAGAGGTGGAATTCGTCTTCCTCAACAGTGAAAGTGTCGATCAGCAGGAGTGCCTATTGACGACCCACGAGGCGGCGAAAATCTCGGCCACGCTAAACGGGCGGGTGAAATTCGACACTCGTAGGAGCCTTGGGGGAATTAAAGAACAGCACCAAGGGAAGTGGATCGGGATGCACTTCGACTCTCTACAAGCTCCGATCACCTTTCCATTTTCCCCTCTGTTGACCGCCTTCTTAGGATATTACCGGGTCTTACCAGCCCAAATCTATCCGAACGCTTATCGTATACTGGTGTGCTTCCCGCAAATTTTTGCTCGGCACAAAGCCATGTGTACGATGGAGCTTTTCAACTATATTTATATAGTTAAACCCGGGACCACCTGAGCTCAATCGCCAACCTTCCTGGGAACAATCGAGGGTGGAAGAACAGGATTTTTTCGGTCGAGTACGGCCCCTGGATCCTGCCGGTCGACCAAACGTGGGGAACGCATTACAGGAAACATATACAATCACCAGCCACTCGGGCCCTTCGAGAAGCCACCTTCCGCATTTCATGCGAATTTCATGAGTATAAAATCTTCCGATCGAGAGAAGCGTATGAGAACGCCCAATTGCCACTTCCCCGATACGACTTAGAACTGAAGTACACGCCGCGACCGGTTTCGGTGTCGATCGCCGTAGCGGCCCCTCAAGCCGAGCCGACCGTTGAAGGTCTTCGTGTCGTTATACTTCCTCGGCCTTTTCACACCAATTAATCAATGAACTAACATTATAATCTCTCTTTGTTTTCTTGCAGGAATGGGTCCAACTCGTGGTTTTTCGACCGACAGTGCTCCTCGAGCCCCCCGAGCCAAACTGACGCTCAGAGGAAAGGCCGCTGCCACTGGTACATCCACCGATCAAGAGGTCGGGGACGCCTCTGTCCCGGTCGCCCGACCGTTGGGTGCTTCCACGACCACCCCTGAAGGGGTTGTACTCGCAGATGCCATCGCATACCCATTGGCCCCTCGAGCACCCAGACGAAAAGGAAAGGAGAAGGCGTCCGGGAAGGATGTAGAAGAGGTTGGCTCTCTCAAACGGAACCGAAGGTAGAGCCCCCCGACCGAAGTCGCCCCGAGCGACGGACAGACCGGCGCGGAATTGTCCCTCCTCTCCCGGATCAACAATTTACAACAAATTGGGGATGACATGAGCGGCTGGTCGCCGGCCCAGATAGCTGAGAAAGGGGCTCGGGACTTAGTCAAGGTTTGTTTTATTACCCCCCCCCCCCCCCACCTTTTAACTTTCGACCATTTTCAAGTCGATCGCTTAACTTAACATCATTTTCTTGTAGGCTTCACGAGCGATCCTCGGTCTTCAATATCAGGCGTTGCTTGCCAATGAAGCCGAGGCTTTGAAGAAGGTCACTGAGCGGCGTGGC